CGCTAAAAGAAAACCCGAAAATTTAAATATGACTTATATTTAAATTTTCGGGTTTTCTTTTAGCGACACTCATATAAAGTAATAAAACTTTCATCTAGAGTTCCAATCCATTAACAGTTTATCTATATATCCGTAATCCGTTATCCAATATTTGTCGAATTATCCGGACATCAATAGTAAACTGATATCCGGATAAATTCAGATATGGATAAATGGATAACGGATTTATCCGGATTGGAACCCTACTTTCATCTAATTGGCTAATAAATCAATTCAAACCTGAAAGTATTTTAAAATTTAAATAACTTTTCAAGTGGTATCTTATTTCAAAAACTTTAAATCACCAGTGGAAGTTATTCTATGTCATTGCAACTTTAAAATATTTCAACATGATTTATTTATATACAATAACATTACAGCATTACGGCATGACATAATCACGGTAAATAGTATGACACATGCCGTTGCTATATTGATTTGCCAGATTGATTCTACCACCAACTATAGTATGGGCCAATTTTTAAATTCTATACTATACTAATCTAGTGTTATATATTATATATATATTAAGGTTAGGAATTACAGCTAATTAGTACAGCACTTGAGATCAGCCTGTACTATATTGATCTGCACACCGATACCATATAGATTGTGACATATGAAATGAGACATAGTGTAAAATAGATAAGCCACCGAAATATACAAATTGCTGGGTGCACTTTTTAACTTTTTTTAGGGTTAGAATAAGGGTTTAGGGTAAGTTTTATAATAAAAAGTATAAGTGGGTTTTAGGGGGGACAAATAGAAAACCTTCATTTCATTTTAATCTGATGTCATTATGATCCGCGACATAGATTTGCTGTAATTTCGTTAATGAATTGATTGACACGACCTAGAAACTGGTACAGTAGATCACAATTAAGATTAGGACGATTTATTATCAAGGTTAGCTCAATTTAGAATGATAAATGTTAGACGTTATGATTATTAATTTCTTATAAATATCACCCTTTTTTCAACGAAAAAAATTTTATTAGCATCCATTAATATTTAACAATCAATACTATCATATTATTTTTATAAATACTACAAATATGAAATATATTTATTTTTTAGTGAATTTATTATTAATTATTTCTATAGCACAAAATCACTCATTTATTCATGCACAACTACATCCGTTAGCAAGATTATGGGAAGTAAATGACAATGAAGTACCAGAACTACTACATAGAGAAATAAATTTAGTCATGGTGGATAAAATTGTAAAAAAATTAATCAACGATTCAAACTTTGCGGGGTCTTATATAAGCGCTAAAAATAACAAAGTGTATATTAATATAGTAGATGAATCTAAAGAAGAAGATATAAGATCTTCGCCTAAGTTGCAAAATTATCAACATTTATTGTTCTTTAAAAAAGTATCCAAGTCCTTAGCCAGATTAAAATATTCATTTAAAAAAAATAACTGAATTAGCTTATGATCACAATCCAGTTAGAGTTCATATTTACATTGATATAGAACTTAATACAGTCTTTATAGCGTTAATTTATTGGGACAAAGAAATTAACATTACGTTCCTAAATGCTATTAGGCCTTATGAACAGACGGTACATTTTATAACGCCGCCCAATGCTAATCCTAGAGCATTACAAACTAAAAAAAGTGACATAGATCAAATAACAATAGACCAAATCGTAACTCCGATCATAGGTGGAGAAGGATTATTTAGCAATAATACACTTAATGGGACTTTCTGTTCAGTAGGCTTTTCCGCAAGAAGTATAAAAGATGCAAATGTGAAATACATCGTTGCCGCAGGACATTGTATTAATAAAAAGATTACTACTGAGCAAAATCTTTTTTTAGTGTTCCATGGAGCCACAACAATTTTGATTTTACGTCCAATTTAACTAATTATGGGTTCTTTAATTACATTGGAAGGGCGGTAAATTATCAAATTGGACCATACGATTTTGTATTAATTGATATAAGGGGAGATGATATTATTACGTCAGCGGTTATAAGAAGTATAGATGTATTACATAATAGAGAATTATTTATAAATGATATTACTCCTGTATCTAGCTATGGTGTTCATTTGTGTAAATCTGGTTATGTGACTCGCGTAACTTGCGGATTCGTAAAGGCAATCGATGCCATTTATATAGCTGATGAGAATTCTTTTATAACGAATCAGATCGTCGCAAGTTATCATTCCCTTTATGGAGATAGTGGTGCGTCTGTATTTTATTACTCACCGAATTTGCGTTCAGTGAGTCTAATTGGCGTGCATTCATCAGTTGCTGCAATTAATAGTTTTTGTATTCCATTAGAATATATTCTCAAAACAGCTAACATAAGGCCTGAAATAATAGATAAAAGATATTAGAAAAGTTGAAAAATGATGCATTTTTTGTGACATGATATCTCAAAATTTCAAATACGACATCGTGTTAAGACTCTGCTAATATGTACAAACTATTAATAACGAAACAAGGATAAAGGATATATTGATGGAGTTGTGCTATGTACAATTATAGCTATAAGTAAAATCATAATTTGTATTAATTATTTCAGAATTAATATTTTAATTTATTAGTAAGGCCACACGAAGTTTATTTTTTGATTGCATTACACTTTGATCTCGATGTATTTTTTGAAATGTCATTTTACTTATTCAGGTATTATAAGGTTACGGCACGATTCCCCGAAAGTTATTTGCCTGCCAATTCATTTCCCCGACACCATAATGCAGACCAGTGTTGGAAATCTAAATCGATTTTAATGTTCTCAGGCAATTTTTTTTAATATGTTTATTAATAAAAAATTGGAAAATTGATGTTCTCAGAGAACATTGAGAACATCAGATTTCCTACACTGATGCAGACATGCTATTTCTTCTACGACACATTTTTTCGATAAGTCACATATCTAACATTACATGTTTTCTACAATCCATTTCTTAGACAAGACATTTATTTCTCCGACATATGATTTAATCAAAATCAACCAACCCTAAAGTTAAGTTGAGCCAATTTTATGTCGAGGAAATAATTGTCGGGGAAATGACCTGTCTAAGAAAAAGACTGTCGAAAATATGTAATGTAGAATATATGTTTTATCGAAAAAGTGTGCTGTAAACGAAATATCATGTCGGGTAAATAAGTTGGCGGGTAAATAGCTTTCGGGGAATTGAGCGATAATCATGATTACAGATTCTTTAATTAATAACTTTTAAATCGGTTAAATCATAAGTTACTAGCGTTAACCCGTGCCTTCGACATGGGTAAGGTAGTATTTTATTTATTATAGGTTAAATATCATAATTTGTCATTTTTAGTTACACTAAAAGATTTTATAATAGGATGAGACCCACGTTAGAGGTGGTTACGTTATTGATGTACATCACTGTTAAATAGTATTTAGCCTTAATTAAATTTATGTTCGCATCAAAAAGTAACCTAAAAAATGCAAGTTTCGCCTTTTTTATATTGTATCAGATTTTATCAGGAATGGAGTGATGAATATCACGATGTGTATGGTTATATAGCAATTCAATAGTGATGCCCCACAAAATCTTGCAATTGATTAGATGTTATGTTGCATTGTATAAGGCGTGAGTGCAAGTTTGATTTTTCACACTCAACTTCGTCATATACATGGGCGTCTAAATTATGGATGATTTACGGCAGACGGCATGGCGAAATTTTTTTAATATTTTCGCCACGGTATTTCAAAATGCATGTGCCTAAATTGTTTTGGTTGCAGAAAATATTACAGACTGCCAATATTGCCTATATTATTATAAACTGCCGATATTATTATAGACTGTCTATATTACTCATTTACACTATAGATCCGATTTTATGTATTTTGGCATTTGCAACGATTTTGATTAAGTTAAAAAGCAATTCTTAAATGCATCTTAAATAGTCAAAGAAATAAATATCAATTATTTTACTTTATGTAAAATCACACCTTGTATAAAGTATCGTTCATACCCGTACAAAAATTTTTAACTTTAAACCAGCCCATCGGAACCTCAGGCAGATCTATAGTATCTATAGTATTACAGATAGAAAGGTTCATGAGATTATTTTTTGATGAAATACTGAAAATTTAAAATCATAACGGAAGTTTCAGGTTTCTACCAATGATACTGTATTACATTTGATATTTATAACGCTACGTAAAGAAACTTAATAAAATATATAACTTATGTGAATAATTTTAAAATGCGTGCACTATAATTTTAGAATTTAATCAAATAGATTTGAACATATGTTACTATAAACTATGCGCTTTATATGCACATATTTCTGTATTCTGTATTTTATTGATAATTTTGATGCATTATTCAGTCAAAAAGTTTGTCAAAAAAGTGCATTGAGCAGGTTTTATACGCTGGTAAAGGAAAATTTATATCAAATCTATATTCTTAAATGTTACATGCTATAAAAATAAATGTTTATTATTTTATATAAGAGGTTTAAATTTTATTCTTTATTCTTTTTATTTGCTGCAGGTATAATAGAAATTAAAAATATCAAATACAATAAGAAGTACAAATAATGAATGCAAATAAAAAATGAATCAAAATTTATATAATTAGAGCAAGTTAGATTCGAACTATCGAAAGGTTATGTGATTTGTGGTAGTGCTGGATTTGCTTGTAAAAATAGCTGCAATCACAGGTTTCAATGAGCTGATTAATTACAGATAGCCTAAGAACTTCGGCAAAATATTATCGAAGAAATAGCATATCAGATAAATGTACAATCGAAAAGATAATTTGCCAGCGAAATATGCCATAAACTTATTGTCGAAAAAAAAAAAGCTGACAGTAATATTTCCTGTAAGGGAAATATGCCATAAACTTATTGTCAAAAAAAAAGCTGTCAGTAATATTTCCTGTCAAAAATATCAAGGTTTCGGGCAAAAGGCCTTGTCGGTGAAAAAGCCTTCTATCATATGTCATGTCGGGAAAAAAAAACATTCAGTGAAAACTTCTATCGGTAAAATAGGTTGTTGGTAATATGTAGTGTCAGAAAATAAGGTTATCAGTATTATGTGTTCGAAAAAATGAGAATTCGGGAAAGAGTCTTTGGGAAAGTGAGTAACAATGGTCGCAATGCTATAATCAAGTGATCTTTAGCCGCATTAGCTAGCCGACTCTCCTATATCAACTGGTATATCGGTTTACAATACTGCTAGAGGATCGTTCTCTATGTTACGCATGAAGGACTTAGCATAATGCAATTTTTGTTCGGCCCGGCCTTTATCATATTAAAATTTCCTAGTATGTTAAAACAAGGCTTTGAATGTACTAAAATATAAAAAATTCGTATGTACTAGTACGAAAAATTTTTTAACGTACGTACTATCATAATTTTATTTAATCTTCGTACGTCCATACAAATTAATACTACTATACTTACTGCTTTACTAATACCTATCTGTCTGGTACAAGTTTATCGTTACAACGTACATACGTACTGTACGTCCATCTGTCGCCTTACATTACTACTTTACTGAATACCTATATAACGCTGTGTCACGTAGTAAGTAAGAGCAAATATGTAATGTATAGTTAATAAAGTATGTATAGTAGAAATTAAAGTGGTATGCATAGTTCGTAAAAAAAATTCACTGAGATTTTATCTACAGTATGACTATACTAACCCTAACATGAAAAAAATGCAAACATTAACCTTAATAGTTAAAAAGGATAACTTATACAAAGATAAATTTTATAAATTTTCTATTTATATATATTTTCGGAAATTTGCTTAGCTTGCATCTACTGTATACAAACATCTGTGTACATTACTAACATACAAGTTTATACGTACAATACATATTTCTGTAATACCCTGTAAGTATAAATGACATATACGTACGTACGTACTGTACGTACATATTTCGACATCATAAAAAATCATGGCAAACGCACAAGAATGGCTTGAAAAAGCCATTTCCGAAGGATATATTAATAATCTTGAATATAATAAATTTACAGACCCTACAATTATTGGCAGCGGAGGCTTTGGAAAAGTTTTTAAGTACGAATGGAAAGATTATGATTTAACGGTTGCTCTTAAATGTCTTAACATCGATGCCGATTTAGGCTTAAATGAAAAAATTATTAAAGATTTTATTAAAGAGGTATTTATTACATTAATACCTATATTATTGTCTGATGTAATAAGACTAATAATACTAAATTTTTATGACTGTGTTATAAAAGCTTAAGCTATTACTAAGGGTTGGCTATCATCCTAACATTATTAAATTCTATGGAGTCACGAAAGGTATATGTGCAATTTCAAATTTTGAATTCATGTATAAAGCAATAATTATATTAAAAATTTTATTACTATTAAATAGATAACAATGACTATTATAATTTAGTTTTACAGTATGCTAATAATGGAAACTTACGAGAATACCTAGAAGCAAATTTTACAAGATTGCAATGGGCAGCTAAATTATTCATTGCTAAGGAAATAGCTCTCGGACTTTTATTTTTACATGATAATAATATTATTCATAGAGACCTTGTGAGTGTTATAAACTTTGCTAGATTTTATGTGTTTTATATTTATTAACTAATATTCCCATTATTAGCATTCGAAAAATATTTTGATTCATAAAAATAAACCAAAAATTGCAGATTTTGGACTATCAAAGCACATGAATGAAATGTCTATGTCATCAAATTCAACTGTTCACGGAATGCCGGCATATATCGAACCACAATGTCTTATTAAGCAAGGATATAGACGTGATAAAAAATCTGACGTCTATAGCTTTGGAGTAATCCTTTGGGAAATTTCAAGCGGAAGACCACCATTTCAAAATTTTAAATCTAGAGATTTACTCGTTATTCACATATTCCAAGAAAATAGAG